ATTGCTAAAATTGAGCATTTTCCCTTAACCTCTCTACACTCAGGGAAAGTTCTTCTGAGTATTATTCATGTTTGTAAATTTATTATAAACAAAACATATTAAATATAAGTACTTTTATAAGTTATAGTAACATTATATAAGTCAGAGAAGTACTATCAAAGTAGTATATAGAATAATGACTTTCTACTTCATTTGGACTAGAAATCCATACTAAGTCTATTAAAACTGTTTGAAACTAGTCTAATTTATTTGGAATGAATTTACAAACATGAATAATACTCAGAAGAACTTTCCCTGAGTGTAGAGAGGTTGGGGGAAAATGCTCAATTTTAGCAAACTTAAATATGTATTATACTTATATGTGTATTCTGTATCCTAGTTAGGATTCAATATTTAAATTAACAATAAAGTTATATTCTTCATTTAGACCAGTTTATAGTATTGTACAATCAGTTTTAGGGCCAGGAAAACTCATATACATGAAATATAGGGAAAACTCACATATTGTGTTGTATCTTACTCAAATTTTGCTCATTTTACTTTATGTTTTCTGTAATATGAAAGACACTTTAAAAGTATTATTTTTACAACTTAGATCATGTAATTTGGTTAAGTATTAGTTGAGTTATGATAGATTTTGTATTTGAGTGTACTTAGTGTGACGAAAATCACAAATCGCGCGTGTGACAATATTTATGAAAATGACAGTAATAAATAGGAGTATTAGCTTTGAAAATCATCGTAAGCCCCGAAAGGCGCACACAGTTAAGTTATATTGTATCAATTTTGATACCAGACGTCAAATTTGTGTAGAACTTACATGATCTGTTGTAATATGTCAGAAGAACGGATGCTTCTAGTTTTCCGTTGTCTGCACACTTCTTGCTCTTGATATTTCATATCTAGAGTTGATACACCCTTCGGTGTGAGAAACTGTGTTAATAAAAATGGAGGGATGCCTCACACTGCTTTCATAAGACGATCATGTATTCCTCGAGAATATTAAACTTCTTGGCAAGGAAAGAATGCGACACCGAATGTACACGACTGGGCAATGAGGACGGCTGCTTCTGATAAGCTCCCAACTCATACTGGGTGCTATGTAATGTTTCTTTAGCTAGTATTTATCAGTAGATATATACACTTGCTTGTTCTCCCATTAAGTCATTCAAGGCTCTTACTACTTTCGTCCGGCCCATAGTTCTTTGTTGCCCCTAATATCCATTGCAATGTCTATAATTAGAGATGTATTTCTGCCTCATCTGAAACCGCATTGCATCAGCCTTGTGACTGTGAAGTATGGCCGATATTACTGTTGGTGAATCTCTAAATCAATACAAACTGCACAAGAAAGAACAAACAATAAAGACTTTAACTGCCTTGTGAACCCGAGAAAAATCTTCAGAATATCTATACACTTTAGAAACAAGCGAACATCAAAAAACAGATGTTTGTTAAGCAAAGTCAGATTACTAGCAGGCTACCACGTAATCAAACGAGATATCCTGACGAGCAAAAGCGTTGTGAAGACACCAGATGCAAAAGCTGCTACCAGCTGGTGTACTAAGGCCTTGTTGGAAATATTGCTATTTCTGAAGCCGGTTACGTGCTCCTGTCTCTGATACGTTAAAACCTTTTTATTGCTTCTTTCATTCTCATCCTCCAATGCCCAGCTGTTCGAAGGCGTATTTTCTGCATTTGGTGCACTTATCAAACTTGGGAGGCCATCGATACTCTTGACATTATTTGCCGACCAATATTCTCGCAGACCTTTGTCAGTCGCCGGATCCAGTGTTGTGTAAACTGCTCCAGCTTCTCGTTTTGACATGCGTTCGAGCAGAAGCGTTCGTTCCTTTTTGAAATCAAAGAAAGGAATGGAGTAACCACAGGACTATGAAGAGAAGTTTCATTAGTTGAGAAGTTTATTCAGCAAGCCAACCCGGCGTACTGATCCAACTTTATGGACATCTACAACTATCGCAGACCGTGAGCCGGGCTTTCGTTTCTGCCGTGGAACGAGTACTTCATACTCTGGAGTTCCAAACTCGTGAACTGTGCCTGAACATAGATCTTATCAAGCCTAGCCTTCTACTACTTTAGAGAAGGGATTCACCTGTTCCGAAAAGCCTTACGATACGAGGCGGTCCATCGAAGGCACAGAACATGACCGTAATACGCTTATTCTCACGCAAATGGGCTATGGTTTCACTGCCTGAACCGAGAAGGAAACATTCAGAGATGCTATACGGAGCATAGTTTCGTCGCTTCGTAGCTCACCACTTCCAGTCAAGTCTTCATACCAGACTTTGTTCGGACCAATAACATGGAAGCAATCAAACGCTCCTTTGGGAGAGACGTTAACGTGCCCATTAGGGGATAGAGGTGCAGTTGCTACCCAAAATATGTGCTGGTTTTGGATCCATTCGAGCAAGTTTGGTGGACAAGAATCGAAAAATCGACCCATTTATCGCGACAGGTTTGGAGGATAAGCACGGAAGAAAGAAGCGGATCCTGTCAGTGGAGTCCTGTGTGTGGAGACAGGTGAACATAGAACGGCAGGTCCGATCGGCTAATCGTTGAGCGCAAAATACTTATCTCGACTTCACACAGACCTATTACATAATTCGAAGTGGTTTTCAGCATGTGATATACTGTACGCAAATAAGGCATTCTCTGAAGCACTGAATAATATATCAGAATTAACAGGGGCAGTACGGGGAGGCATTAGGAATGCGGAAGGGACAAGGACAGTGTAGAGTTCAAGTCCCCTACCACGAAAAGAAAGTACCACATCTTGCATGTTTCGTGTCAGTGCTTCGCAGGAAACTAGATGACGCGTTTCGTTGAACCTCTTATTATCACGTTTGCGGCCGTTGTATACGTATCCTCACAAAGAATGAAGCATTTGCGGGAGAACGAGTACATAGACAGAACCTACTCCCCTCTTGATTATCGAAATAATGGTGTCTTCGAACACTCGTTCATGACTGAACATTGATGTTTGTAAGCCGGCTGCACCATCTTCTGCTCCAACACGACACCCACGGACGAACAGGAGAGTTAGAGCATCGGCGTTGACGAATTATCCTCCCGTCGAATTAAATTGCCAAAGAAAAGAAGAAAAGCCAGGTACTGGGCGTCTTGCATCGATATAAGTGCCGCAAGTCATACTCGTCGATCCACGTGGATTTGCTCATATCCGTCCTTCGCAAGAGGGTTCAATGCCAAGCATCGGAAATTATGCTGGCGCAGGCATACAACGGGTTCATAGTGTGTCCACATCGCAGCAGGTCCTCGACAGATTCGAAATTTGCTATCCCGGTCTGCTCGGGTGCTTCACGGAGACGGTCCTCAGGCTATTAGATATTCCCGATATCTCGAATGACAAAGTATTTACCTTCTGGCTTACTAGTGAGCGAGTTTCCTATTCCTACACAATGCCCACGTACTTTTATCCAGCCCATCGGGGCTCGGAGGAAAGGGAGACCATCCGAATATCGCCCCTCACGTGTCTACGGCAGATGCGTTATTCAACTCCAGGGACAGCAATAGAATTATTACATTACTGTGAAGCAGGCTCAGGCGGTTGACCAACTTTTCTTTCAGCAGTCACTGTGACCAAGTCAATCAGTAGAAATGAATATGGGGTGTGTGAGGTATGGCTGTACCCCATGGCCGTCGATCCATCGGACACTGCTGCTTTGATGCCGCCGTGCCAATCCACTTGAGAAGACAATGCATATGAAAGACATGTGTGCACTCTCCCCAAACTATGTCATTCATATTCATCAATAATTAGCAATGAATATCAGTTGCCTGCAGCTCACTAAGCGGACAGTCGTCTCCAGGCATCTTGCAGGCAGGACAGCAACCCTCGTATGGTACACGGCAGATACCACAAACGTCACCTTCACCATCCTCGGTATCGCCGTCTGCACCATCGACATCTCGCGATCCTGTGTCCCATCTCCATTGTGCTATCGCATGCCATCTCTTGACGTGCACTTTCATGCTGGTGATTTATCCGTACTGTCTCTTAGGTGATGGTGGTTCCAATTGTGTTCATGCAAAGTGACAGCAGTGTCCAGTGTGACGTGTCGTGGGGATGTGCACATGATCATGGTCACACGTACCTTGTCATCTGCCGTACGTCGAGTATACTTGAACTACTCTGCTATTGTAATGGTCAAGCCAAAGACGGATAAATTATGGGAGAAGGAAAGCTAGTACTTTCTGATACCATCACTTATTGTGCCTTGAGAAAGCTCACCACAAATTTGTAAAAGAGTGTTGCTTCGGGCATGGCACCTGCTTCGAGTTTCATATTACAGTGTATTTGCTTATAACCAATGGGTGCTTTAGGGACCAGCATCAATTGGTGGTTTAGAGTCAAGCGTTTTTTTTTGTCTCCTGTACATCGTGAAGCTTCGCATATAACAAATAATACAAATCCAGACAATTGTGAGTTCCTTTCCTAATACAAAATTTCTACAGGGTGTATTTTTGAAAATGGGACAGCGTGCTCTCAGGCAGATCGTTTCTTTCATACCCGGCTTCCTTATTTGGTGTACCGCTCCACATTTAGGCCAGCCTCCTGAGCTTTGATGTCTACTCATTTTCATCAGCTCGATAGTGCTAGTCCAGAGAAAGAGAGTTAACTTACAGAGCGCGAGATGTCTAGAATGGAATCTACAAAGTGCGAGATTACCTATTACCCAGTCGAGTCGTAGTTTCAGTTTTATGTATGATTTACAAAGGAATGCATATATACCCATCATGAAATACAAGCCCTGTACACCACTCCAGCGCCACGCCGAATTGATCTCACCCTCGTTATTTAAACCCCACACTTGATTCACCCTATCCGCGACGTCCTTACCGACAAGTTCGCCGACAAGCTGCTTTGGGTCACCATAACTAGTGGTGGTGTAATTAACATTCTCTTCATAGGACAGGTATTGTCAGGTACACTCACCCGGTCGCGAATATAACCACGTCAGCAGGAAGTTCGCTTCCGTCCTCAAACTCAATGGAGTGCTTTGAGAAGCGTGAGATCTGACTATCATTCTTCAGCTTAATCTTTCCATCGACAATTAGTTGGCTCGCTCCAACGTCTGGTAGATGACGGTGCACTCGTTGAGATCTTTTATAAGCACTAATGGGTAAAAATGGTGCTACGTACCGAGGTAATACCCTCCGCCGCGTTCCCATGCTTTCATGAGGAAGCCGGAACCGTCGTCTCCAAAGTTTATTCTGAATCCACGCTTCTCTAGCCCTTCCAAGAGCTCCCTACGATTAAACATCAGTGACGCAATAATGGTCTGACAAAACAAGTCCACACCTATCAGCATCGGCAATGTCTTTTGTCACACGCATATGGATCATGCGTAAGAGATGGTTAGGTTGTGAATGGTAGAGAAGGTCAGCAACGTCTGTCGGAGGGCATCCCTCCCAGTAAAAGTCTAATGTAAAATAACTGATAAGTGAATTAGCTACAGAGTCTCGAGTACAAGGAACGAACCTTTCATCAGTCTCGGCATGCCTTCCTTGTTTGACATTATATACGTGGAGCTCCTCTGATATAAAGTTACATCTATAAAAAAAGACCTTTAGAGGGCTGATAATACTGAAGTACCCTCGGACGTACCAACACCGTGGGTATAGTGATCATGGGCGATATCGTGTCCTAAAAGGCAGATTTCAGGAAACAGCAGGTAACATACTACTTCTCTTTTTACCCGAGGTACAGGCACCAATTACCACGACCTTCTTCCCAATATTATCACGGGCAGACTTGAATTTCGACGAATGAACAATCCTTCCTTCGAATTCATCCTATCACCACGTCAGATTCAGTACTAACCTTATGAAACACTATTTAACTGACCATTCCAGGGAATTTCGGAAGGTTTGCTACACCGCCACCGAAGCCGTGTGCAAAGACGATATGTCGAGGGTTGAAGACACGAATCGAGCCATCTGCGCGCTTAACGGACACGGTCCAGCCCTTCCCAGAAGGATTCTGTTGGATATTCTCAATTGTCGAGCTCGTCCAAACATTTAATTCCATCGAATTTGCGTAGAACTCCAGCCAATCTGCAAGCTTTTCAACCATTATGATTATGAGATCTGATAAGAACGAGATCAGCCCGCATAACTTACTTTCGGAGCTGGGGACCAGACAGGCCAGGACAGAGGGAAACTAATAAAATGTAGATGCCACTCAGTCGAGAAAAGGGACACGAAGAAGACAGAGAAACGACGCACGGAATGTATGGCATATGGTCATACCCTAGAACGTAAAAATTGAAATATCAGTGTCAAGGAATGAGTGGTTTCAGTGAATGGTACAACTCACAAACAGGATCATGTAGACATAATGCTTCATATCTACCTCGCCACTGATCTCCAACTCTGGCCTGCCTCTCAACAATAAGCGTGGGGACATCGAGAAGCTTGAGACGCGCCGCGACTTCAAGACCGCTTTGACCTCCACCAATGATGACGACGGCCGGTTCTGTATCCTCAAAGTTGATTTCTCGACGTCGCTGCTCCGGCCACATCCCATGATTGGGAATGAAGTTGCGGCGTGTACCGATACGTTCGGGGAAGTCCTTCAGCTCCTCTAGGTTTGTATAGACGATATACGCCTTCCATTCGCCACTGGCAGTAGGGACGAGACGAAACACACCCGACCCGCGCCCAACCTTGGTTTCAAACGTGAATATAGCGGTGATCCACAAGATATCATGATACGGTTGCTGAAGTGCGATTGAATCCTCCTTCAGCTGGAGATTGCCAAGCCCAGATGTGACGAGGACATCTTGCAAGAATTGTTTGATAAGCTGTGTTCCCTCAAATGATCGAAAGTCCCAGGTGAGCGCAAGCATGTCGCGCCAGAAAGCGAAGTCGACCAATAAGTCTGTGATGGCTGCGATATTCTTGTCCTCCACATGCTTTGCGAAATCGAGGAACCATCTGGAGGCAATTCCCTTTGTATCGACAGTCCCTGACACTTTGGCATTCAGCCTGTCTAGAGTGGGCAGAGAACGTTGTGCGTGTGTCAGAGCTGCGTCTCCCGCCATTATCAAAAGCGCCCGTGGAAGAGAAGAGGGTAAGTCTTAGATTCTCTGCTGGGGAACGTATCAGTTTATAATGCATTGGCTAAAGAAGCGTCATGGGAGTCATGTGGTATCTCGAGAGAACATCTAGTGTATTCAGCCTTGATAGGTGGCTTGGGTATAGGCATTACGCCTTTCTGGTCTACCAATATGGAGAGGGTCCTAGAGACAAGAATGTTACAGGCCTGTCACGTGCCGAACATCCGCTCGTAAGGTTGGGAAAATAAACTCAACCAACTGTGACGCAGCAGTACTAGCCTCTTTTGGGCCATACAATGATGGACGAAATAACTTCCTCAAATAACCTCAAATGAATATTTGGGCAACATAGAATTGTAGAGGACATCTGTAGCTACAAATGTATGTTTTTATTTTTCAAAAATATAAAGTACAAAATTTTTTATTTCCTAAGAAAACTTTTTTTGTTAAAATGGTCTAAAATTGCATTTCTATGAGTTTGAGCACTACTTGAAATTTTTCGACCCAGATTTTTGCCGCTTATATAATACCAAAAGTTATGTAATATTAATAATAATAATACATTTGTCAGCATTTTTTAAAGTAATTTTTTCCAAACACTTAGAAAGTTGAACAAACACTATATAACTGTTTAAAAACTAACTTTAGACATTAATAATTGTATCTGAATAAGTTTTGAACTTGCTAGAGCTAATAAAACAAAGTCAATTTTTTCTGACCTAGAAATTTTTGCTGTAGGGTCCTTCCAAAAGGAGTATGTGGCTGTGCTGTAACTGATGTGACAGGTTGGTTGAGTTTATGTTTTCCCAACCTTAGCTTCCCAGTTTCCCACTGACCAATATATAATGACAAAGTCAGCTCTGGACTCAGCTCCGAGTCAGGATAGATTCATGGATCGTGAGAAAACTGACTAATTTTTGCCGGCCCACTTCTGAGGTCAGATGGACAAAACGTGAAATCGGGCCGATCAACATCTTAGGCTACCCGCAAGTCCGAGAGTTAAGGTAGGACCGGAGAGTGGAAGAAAGCTTAGGGTACGGGTTGATTCGCTGATATCTAATCTAACAGTACACAAAGAGCCGGTTCTATTCTCCGGTTTGCACCATCTCCGACAGGCTCACTGCACCTTGGTGGCCTCAGGACAGCTCTGTACAACCACCTATTCGCGAAGAAATACGGAGGGAAATGGATCCTTCGCATTGAGGACACCGACGCTGTGAGCATATCAGTTTACTTCCATCAGGAAACGATATTAGACTATCTCACCGTTTCTAGTATCGCTTTGTTCATGGTGCGGTTGACAACATTCGGAAGTCGCTAGAATGGGCTGGGCTAGAGTATGACTATGGTTAGCGAACGTTCAGTCATCACGGTTCACAGTTACCAGGGTGTTCATTATCATCCAGGTCCTGGGGTTGGCGGTCCGCATGCTACGTATTTCCAGGTGAGAAATCTGAGTATTCTGAATATGGAATGTCTTTGATGAGTCAATGTCTAGTCAGAGCGTCTCGACCTCTACCATTATCATGCGAACAAACTCGTTGAGGTAGACCTTATTTTTTAGTAAGCAATAACACTACAGAGACAGAGAATGACACTTTGTGCGAGGAAATAGAGCGGCCACGCCTATCACTGCTTCTGCTCTCCTGCACACTTGGGCAATGTGAAAGAAACTTTGGCAAGACGGGGATCAAATGCGACCTACGACAAGACGTGCTTACACCTTTCGGAGGAGGAAGTCACCCGTAGGAAGCGGGCCGGAGGGAAATTCGTGATACGATTGAATGTACGTACAACCCTCCTGACAAGGATGTCGACGAGTCTGATTGTTGCTTAGGATGAGACGCCTCCGACTCGTTTGCCGCCTGTGGATATTATTTTCGGCTCTCTCAGAGATGCTCATAACTCCCTGCCCACGGACCCAATCCTGTATAAGTCTGACGGATTTCCGACTTACCACCTTGCATCCGTTGTTGATGACCACGAAATGGGCGTCACACATGTTCTCCGAGGAGAGGTAAATATTTCGTTTGTCACTCTGTCTAGAATTCTGATAATTAACGTTCTCCCCAGGAATGGCTCCCTTCCCTCCCGCTGCATCTCGATCTCTACGCTTGTCTAGGATTTACTCCTCCAGAATTTGCACATCTTCCTCTTCTGCTGAATCCCGATGGCTCAAAGATGTCGAAACGGAAAGGAGATGTTAGTGTGTTAGATTATATGGTGCGTTACTCGGTGAGACCTATCAAAACCCTTAACTAATTACGCCCTATAGGAACAAGGATGGATGGCACCCGCTGTTCTGAACTGGCTTGCACTAGCTGGTTGGGGTATTGACCATGGAGAGCATGCGAGCGATCATTCCAGAAAAGCAGCTCCAGCCAGTACAGAACTATTTACCATGCATGACTTGATAGAAAGGGTGCGCTTCAGACCTTCCTTACCATCCAATTATATCCATGTTAAATTGCCTTCTCATAGTTTGACCTCTCTGTATTGACACCTCGACGGAGCATCCTGGACCCTCATAAACTCCAATTATTGAATGCTAAACACATCCAACGTGCCATTGAGAATAAAGCGGAAGTCGATGGATTAGCAGACAGAGCGCGAAGCCTTGTTGCGAAGAGATTCCGAGCTCCAGAGCAGAAACGGTTCGCGAAATTTGCAACATGAGAGTCATGGAAATTGATTTTTCCTGTAGAATCATCGAGCAGCTGGATTTCAAAAACATTCTGAAATTAGCCAAGGTACGTCTAATTATTCAAAGCCTGGAATAATCATATTCTGACAACCAGTGAAGAACCGCTTGAGGACGTTAAACGATTTGCCACAGCTCTTAGAGTTTCTTTTCTATTACAGAGGGCCATCGTCTACAAAGGACGCGGAGTTTGACAATGCATTAGACGTCAATCGCTACGGTAGGTTGTCTACCGTCCTATAAATCCAAGCGGCTAAATGGCTCGAACGCAGGCGCGGTATTGAATAAGTACATCGATGCCATTGAAGAAACGCAATCCGCTCAAGTTCCTTGGGATGAGGCGGCAATTCGAAAGATCGAAGATATGCGAGACCAACGTGATGAGCTCGTCCTGTTGCGCCGAGCATTGACGGGACGAAAGGTACGAATCTAGCTGAGACTCGGCCGAGCACGACTGCTAATAGTTTTCTTCACCTGCTTCCGTCAGTCGGGTCTCCCTTTGATTACTGTCATGTTTTTACTCGGCAGGGATGAAACATTACGCAGATTATCAAATGCGCTTCAGTGGACTGAAGCGGAGAAAACTTTGAGGGAGGCACAGACGAATTAACGCATCCCATTATCAGTATCTATCTATAATGAGACAATTATTTTGATAATGGCGCACTTGCTCTACTGGAAGAAATATATGAAAAATGCGTAGCTTGTTGATCAAAGCACATATCTTTCTATGTATAAATATTACTATAATATCTGACTTAATCAATGATTGACGCATCTCATCGACGCGACACTTGGACCAGGACCAGGACCAGTAACCAGTACTCACCATGGCTCTGCGCAGTTCTCTCCAAAGCCCGGCTTACACGTCAACAGCTGCATCTTCAAGCTCGCTTGTCACCCCGTCATTGTCTCTATTGGCTGATCCGCCCGTACGTCTTGCGGATGCAGCGGCGCTTGACTACCTGGTCATTGAAATGGTGCATGCTCTGCGAGCGTCGGCGAGTGTTGCTACGGAGCGCGTCAAACGCGTTGAGCGTGAACTGCTGGATGCCGGGCTTGGTCCTGCGCCAGCCCCGCCCGAGAAGAGCGTGACTTTGAAGGAGAAAGAGCGGTTGAAAAAGGATGGGCGTGAGTCTGTAGGTAGTACACGAACGCGTGTGAGCTCGCTGGCGGGACAGTGTTACGGGCTTGATACCAGCATGTCCGAGGCTGAGGAAGATGAAGAAAGCCTTCGCCTGCGGCTAGAAGCTATTGGCGTGCATGTGGGTGGAAACGTCGCGGAGCGGTATGTGTATGCTTTCTCAAAGAAGTACTGAAGGGTAATCTTGCTGCAGGTTGTGTCGTGAGCGCCCGCGATTCGGGGACACGCTTGATGCCATAAAGTTCATATGTAAAGACGTGTGGTCAACGTGCTGGGATAAGCAAGTCGATAATCTGCGAACAAATCATCGAGTACGTCTCGGTAATACTGTGCTTTCATTTCGGAGAGTGTGCCTAAACGCAACCCAACAGGGTGTATATGTCCTTCAAGACAATCAATTCAAGCCCATTTCACGTATTTCTTCTTACGAAGGGACCGCAGATGCGATCCGACGTGCGAAGATTGTACGTTTACAGGCAAATTTATGCTAGCCGCCACGACCATGCCTGATCACGATCAATTTACCAGTATGTCGCATTGCCTGTCGGCATAATCCGGGGCGCACTTGCACGAATGGGATACCACGCAACAGTCGTCCCAGAAATCCAACATATTCCTGCTTGTAAGAGTATCAACTTCTTTGCTGTTTGACTTGAATTGATACTCAGTCACGGCATGCCAGGTACTTTCCAGATCAAGCTACCACGGAGTTAGCTATGTCATGGAATATCTATTCTCGATGCGGTATATTGTTGAACTGCCTGTACTGTCATACGTGAAATCGAATTCGAGCACTGGTTTTAAACCTTATCGTGTGTAGTTTCATAAGGTATCTAATTTTGTTTTCTTGCAATGGTGGCCCTCACAGGATTCGCAATGTTGCGCTAACGACGTTTCGGCGCAGACGAAGGTGGGCTTTATCGCCCAATATAGAGACCCCACTGTACTGACACATACATCTCACTACACACATTGGCGTGTGAACCAGAATACGATTCCCATCGCCGTTATCTAGGAATAGTTACTGCATTTGGTTAGGTTACACACGCTGGGTATCCCAAAGCCTGCCACGAGCAGTAGTACCGCTTGGTAATTGACCCGGCGCCACAAACGCTTTGCATTTTGGAGACGATCAATTGTCACAGATACATAAAGCAAACCGATTCTGCTTTTAGTGCTGTTGGAGTATACCTTACCTGCCCACAAGTGATCTCTCAAGGTCAAAGCAATCATGTTTGAAAGTGGAGAAAGGCATACGCTTAGACATACTAAACACGCGGACTTAAGACCGACGCATCTACGAGCTCCAACAGATCGGTCCAGCAAGAGACCGTCTTTAGAAGAAGTTAGAGGGAAAAATCAAAGCCGAGTTTTTATCACTCCCCGACCGGACGATGGACCATCTTGGTCGGGACGGGACCCACTTACGCCTTATGGTCCAGATGATGAAGTTATTGAACTCATGGCTCTATTGTTTCCGGGTGAGTTTACGAAGCAATGGGAACAACTTAAGTCGTTCGGTCTGTTATTTCTTGACGCGTGATTGGAGGGGAGCTGTGTTCTGACGTGCCTTTCCAGAACATGTGAAAGAAGCAGCGTGGCCTGAGGATGCTAAGAAGTGGATGTACCAAGAGATCCCCAAAAACTTTCGAGCTAGAGCGTACAGTGCGTTATCACCATTATCACCACTCCATTATCACCACTCTCTTCGTGACAATGCTACTAAACTGACTATGTCGCACGAAGATCTCATGATCTCTGGGGAATATCTACTTGCATTATTCCAAAGTAGGGATGACCGAGAGTGCTGGAGGCTCTATCGTAGGTACTTCCTGACTGTATTAAGCGAGTTCTCATTTGTCTGATATTCTTGCATCCTCTATCAGAGTTTAAAATTGATGCGGAAGTTTGCTGGCAGAATAAATCATTCGACGATCTCTGGGCCGACTTCATAGCAGAAGAAGGCCTTTGGGAATTGGACCTCCAATGGAAAGGCCCAGAAGACTATCGGAACCCAATTACCAGTAGAGTCCAAGCGGAAGTCTTCAGACGTTTCTCGACTTTGAAACACAAACCTGCAACTCACGCACGCCCTCACCACCGGTCGCATATGCGGATCCGTTGATGAGATAAGAAGACTTCATCAAGTTTGACATATTATGACACGAGTGCTTTGTATGAATAAATTAATGGAGTGTTGCTTGTGCCTACTGGGTTGGACATGTTGATTATGTATTGATGGAAATGGACATATTCAAGCAAATAAGTAAATTATATATATATATATATATATATGTAGTTCATTGTTCGATAGCCATATACTTGTAACTTGTATAATGGACGGAGTGATTATCTCCGGTCACGAGACTCAGACGATAACGTGATGCTCCTTCCTCTCGGGACACCAATGGTGAATGGTCCACACCATCATGCTCTACTTTTTCTCATGATCTGCTAAGTTTCTCAACCCTTGCGTTGCTCCATCTCACACTGTAGGCACCAGCCTTGTATCGCCTTTGCACTTCAAACTCAGGAGCTAGGAGCTGGGGACTGTCTTACGCTGTCATTCTGGAAAGTTAACGACTTCGTACTTCGTCACTGCTAGACAGGTGCTCGTATAAACGTACCTTCTGTCTGGGACCATATACATTCCGGAGCATAGGCACTCCAAGGCTCTGTATCATGGACGTCAACTCTGGTATCCGGGTCGCCGTCGTCCCGGCCCAATCTGCTTTCTTTGCTGGCGAGTCCTTCTCGGTGTCCGTTACCTTTACAAATGTACGGAGCCCCAACTCTCCAGTGAAGCGGGCGACTTCCCATTCCCACAAGCGTGCCGTACATTCTATCAGCTCTGCCCCCCTGGCACGTCCTCCTACCTCCCCTGTCACGCCTAGGACAGCCGTTCCTCCAATTCTAACTTCTACACGAGAGGCAAATAAAACAAGGACGAAACACGAGCGCAAAGGCCTTATAGGTTCTGGTTCTTCCGAAGACAGTAGCAGTACGGGGACCATTTCTCGCTCCTCGGAACAATGGCGAGGTAAGTCGCTGTCTGCGACACTGTCCTCTCGTGATCTCGCCGCAGCGTTATCATCTTCTGGCACGTCGCCCTTACGAAACGCATCACTCCCCGCGAATCACCCTCATGCGCGGAAACAGTCTGTCCAGGATGCAACATTAGAAACCCAACTTCAGCTGAAGGAGTTGTCTTCACCTGCCCCACCTGGTTCCGCATCGACTTCGGCATTTTCGCTTTCATTAGATACAATCTCCGAGAACAACGCGGATACGCATCAATACCCGCCACGACGTCGTCCACCCAATCTGGGGCTCGGCCTCGGTGCTCCTCCTCGGATTACGGCGGAGCACCAACCACCACACACCGCTTTCTCATCTACATTTGTACAGTCTGGAGCTGAGTTATTGCTCTATGCCTATGCTCAACTTTCTGGCACGGTAATGCTTTGCACCGACTCCAGTCAAGGAGAGAGTCTCACGCGAACGCAAGCACTGAACGCCGTGAGATATGCGCTACAGAGGAAGCAAGCGTTCGGTGGTGGACGCATGGATATATCATCCTCTCTCGACGGCAGACCGGGGGAACCGTCATCGCGACATAATCGGTCAAATGGGCACGCCCGGGCTGCGTCCCTTTCCACAGGGCTCATGTCTCTGCTCTCCCCACCAACGTCGTCTCACCAGCCGTGGATTCCCAGCCACAAAGCGCGGTCTCCATCGCTGATTGCTTCCCTTATTTCTCCGAGCGTGTCATCACCCGCATCAATTAGTTCAAGGTCTGGAACGGACAGCTTCGAGGAAGTTACTCCCGAAACGCCGCTTCCAACATTTGAGGTGCAGCCAGTGATGCTGGCTGTCGATCTAGTGCTTGCACCGGGGCAGAGTCGAACGTGTCGGTCTCGTTCCAGGAACTTTCCCGTGTAATATCTTTGACGATTCATTTTCAGATACATATTCTCTTCCGCTTCCTGAAACTCTCCCACCTACCTACCGTGGACGCGGTGTGAAGTTTTCATACCATCTCACTGTCGGCGTCTGCCGTGCAAATCCGGGTCCCTACTCGTCTTCATCGAATAGCAGGAGCAGTACAAGCCAGGTTATGCGCGTCCCTGTACGAATTTACAGCCATGTAGACGTATCTGGTATACAGAGACCGTATGATCTCCTTTGGCCGATCTCGCACCCTCCAGGAAAGGAATGGGCCGGACATGTTTCTGAGAGTGGGGATGCGGACATACCAGTGCGACGTTCTACGATGAGCAGCCCGCACGAGGCTCCGAATTTGCCTGGTGCTGGTGTTGATCATGTCGCGACACTGCGTAACTATGCTTTGAATCTACTGGATTCGGTATCGGGCCATGATATTGACATAGTAGGTGAACCTGCAGAGACTAAGGCCCTATCTCCAATGATTAATGGTCAACATGGCGTCCGCGGCCATGGAGACGGAGAGCTGACCGGATGCCGCGAAGCGGTGGAAATTTTGACACGGAACATGCGCAAAGGTTATCCAATTTCGTCAGTCTTCTAGTCATGGTCTAATTACTTTTTTTGCACCAGTTTCGTACGATGTGAATAAAGACGGGCTAAAGGTGGCTGTTCTGACTTTTACGAAGTCCGCCTATCGGCTTGGTGAGACAATTGTTGGAATCGTGGAACTGAACGAAATTTCTTCCCGTGCGCGTGTACTCAAGGTCCGATTAGCCAATGAAAAATCTATTTTTATACTTAATCATGAAATTTATCTTATCTAGTTGTCGGCCATGCTTGAAGCTCATGAGACGCTCCCATCTTCGTTGGACCCATCTGCCCATGGAGCGAAGAAATTACGCAAACTACATGCTGAATTCCATACTTCGCTTACGCTATCCACCTTGCGCACGTCGTTTTCGCTAGACATACCGTCCGACGCAGCACCGGCCTTCCAATATACCTGTGCTCCACCGTTCTCCACGAAAGAGGAGCGTACAGGCGACGGCCGCCCAGGCGGGCTGGCCTGGACTGTTCGTCTGTGCTTACTTGTGTGTGTTACTAGTCCTCATGCGAAGAAGGGAGTGGTCGGTGTACGTATGAAGGGTCTTCTGTGTGACGGACCACATGGTGAATGGGGAACGGCCTGGCGACCAACCCGAGGGATTGCACCACTGCAAAACATCGACGCTCGAGCTGCTCGTCGAGCGCAACAGCGGGAGGCATTATCCACGACAATGAAGGCCCAACAAAAGCAGCAACAGCAACAGCAGCAACGCGGTTGGGCGTCGTATTTCCTGTCTGGTTTGCTTACTCCTGGTGAACGAGAGTACCATGACGGTGACGAGGAACCGGATGACTCTGATTTGGATGATGCGCCTGTGTTGAGTGGCGTACACAGTGCCAGCAGAAGTGCATTTGATGAGACAAGGGTTATACGAGAGGGCATGGACGTCGATATTGATCTCGGTGGAGGAGACGAAGGGTGGAGTGAACTACGTGCTGAGACTGTCGAGTGTGAGGTCCCGATTCGCGTCTGGCCAGGAAACACTGCCTTCAAACCGATGGAAGTCGTGTTTGACGTGTAATTGAGAGGGTGAATATGCCTTCGAAAGCTTTGTTTACCCTTTGTCAATTGCTTAGATGATACAAGTTCAGAGCCTTGTATCAAAGGTATGTAATGTGTAATAATTATTTGAGCCTAACATACACTTATGCTTAAGATCACTGGATCAGTACAATACACGTGCAAGGTAAGAAGGGTACTTATAGTCTATTAGTGTTTGTAAGTAGGACTTTACTCCTCAAATTTGTTTATGTATATAGAGTTAAGCTCTTAGACTAGAAAAGATGTACAACTGACAGAGGTGTTTCCCTAACTGTACTTAATACTATACTTATTTAATAACATTATGTAAGAGATATGAGAGGTTTAATATAATGTGGCCTAATAGATCAAATAATGTGTAGAATTATTATATAAACAAAGATAGAATAGACTATAAAACTTATTACACTATAACAGCTTAACATAATTACCTTCAGTTTACTATATATTAGCCTTATATAATACTTGATTTTATTTTTGTATTATTAGTTTATAATATTTGGCTTACCTCATATATGTTAGCTTACTCAATCTTAGTCAATCTACACAATGTGAATTACACACACATTTACATTTTATTCATTATTATATTTTATAATATTTTAGCAGAGAGTAGAATAGAGTAAGTATAACAGATGAAGTAAGCTGAAGAGAATAAGGTCTGTATATAGAATAGTATTAGACATAAGGTAATCTGACTAATATAAAGAATTACAGACAGATAATTTTAATTTTAATAATTAATACATTACTTTGTCCTTTATATAATAATAATACAATCTTAGATAATTGTGTATTAGTAAGGTAAGGAAAGTATAAACTCAACATAGTGTAATACAACAGACTAACCCAATTTGGATACAAACAATGATGGCAAAATACAACACTCAGTATCCTAAAAATGCAAATTTGAGCTGTATAGATATATTCAGCTTAATCTAACTTACAAAAGTATGTTTTTGATTTTTTAAAATATTGAGATTTGAGTAAGTTATTTCTAAAAAAAAAACTTTTTTTTTAGTACTAAATGTACAGAAATACAATTTGGTGAAATTTTGAATTTTTTCCTAAAGATTTTTGCCACTTCAGTTAAATATCTATTATATAATTATTTCCTTATATAGAACACGTGCCTGATGAGTAATGTACATTTGATCAGTAAATATCAGTTATTTAGACCCATTTTCCTTTATTCTGCCTATAAATGCTCTAGCAAAAGGGAAGGGATAAAGTCAGAATACAGAATCTGAGAAGTAATAAACCTGTAAGATATACTTAAGGCTGAGTAATAAACAATATAGCTTACTAAGAAATAGGCTACAAGTTTAAGCCAAATTTTATAGACTGACAATGAGGAAGAGTTTAACACTCTAAGTTTTAGAGAGGATGTAAAGACTGTTGTCCTAATTGAGCCTGATAAATTGACAGACAGTACTAGAGTTATACTAAATTCAACTACCAGATGATGCCTGCCCTACTACTAAAGCTCAAATGGAAAAGCATGTTCAAACATACCTTAATTCTATTCCTCTTAATTTCTTTCAAAAGTAAGTACTTTAAATCTTTCTTTCTTACAAAATTGATTTTATTATATGTTTTGTAAGTATTGTAACTAGTCTGCTCAGTTTATAAATGTATATAGAAAGGGGTTGACAGGAGTACAGGCTTAATAGACAAATAAGAAATACTATAGTTATAGAATCCTTCTAACTAGTATTCTGACTAAGTTGTAAAACTATAATCTATATTTTTTTTGTATTTACAAGTGCTAAAAAAATGTCAATGTCTACTGCTCGATTTTTGCCATCAGGGTCCTTCCTAATGGGGAAGTGGCTGTGCTGTGACTGATGTAACATACTATGTTAAGTTTATACTTTCCTTACCTTACTTAAGTAAGTCAATTAACAATCTGACATGGACATTTACATTACATAAGCATAGGTCTGTATGAATAATGTAAAACAATTATAAGTCACATTCTTATTGTTTTAAGGTTTAACTTACAAACATTTTTAGACTTAAATAGTTATATACTTTATAGTATACTTTCTGTAGAAGATAAGTTTTAGAAAATATAAGAGTCAGACATAAATAAGTTGTATGTTAACAGGTCATATTGTGCATTACATAATCAAGTGACTGGACATACAGAATCTATAAGTTTTGTATTTCTAATTACTTAATATTAAAAGTTCTAATAATTTCAAATACAAAATTAATACTAATAGTAACTAGTTTATTACAGAAGTGTGTTAGTTATTAACATCTGATCTGATTATAAAGTTCTGTAGTATTCCTTAAAGTGTACAACTCTGTGTGTAGATTAAGGTACAGGTTTAAACTATTAATAAATTTGATTTTACACAAATAAAATTAAAGGTTAAATATTAAGAAATAAGTCTTTCTATTTATATAATATAGTAATTCTACAAGTCAGTAGTAAACTACTAATACTCTAATACAACTTAAGGATTATATAAGCAAATGAACACAATACTCTCTAAGAATAAGAAATTGAACAATGTAAGTATTAGATAAGACTATATAAAAAAGAACATATATATTCATTTATTACTATTGTTAGTACTCTTATTACTACTATTAGAGTTACTATTACTACTAATACTATTGTTACTACTTGATAAGACTATAATGTTTAAGTAGTATTATAAGTAAGTTACTAGCTTCTTTTTAGTATAGTATAAAGTACTAATAGAATACTTATATAGTACCCTTTTTTAACCTCTGTTTAAGTGTGTCCTCCTTACTCTTTTAACTAACTAGTTGTTAAGCTCTTAAACCTTGAGTAATGTAAGACATTACTAATAACATGTTCTATTAGTAAGGTTCTTTAGTATTATATTCAAATTTATTTCTAACATACTATTAATCTTAAAATCTAACTTAATAAGCTTAACTTTGTAAGTTTTAATAATAAGCTTATTATACTGTGTCTAGCTTACAAGAATTGAGTCTAATTCTATAATTTTACCTTATTATATTGTAAATATGTATACTTTATATATAATTAAATAAAATAATAGTACTTACAAAGTCTGTTACAAATAGTCTAACAGATTACTTATTTAATGTTTATATGTTTTAACAAGTATAGTAGGAGTACTCTCAAACTCTCTCTTATTAAGACATTAAGCAAGTGTCTGCCTTATATACTATATAGTAAAGTCTAATAGTCTGAGACATTCTAAGTGTAGTAACTCTATATAAGACAATTAAGGATTTCCTAATTTAGAGTACAATCTAATACTCTCTTTCAAGTATTAATTAAGAACTTAAGACTGTATACTTAATAGTTTGATTAGATGCTTAATCTGTAGGATGTAGAGAGCTTTTGTAAGAATGTCTGCTAATTGGTTCTACAATTAAATATAGTATACATTAATATAATTGTTTTGAATGTAACATTATACAAAGTCTTTTTGTAAATCAAAGTGTTTAGTATAAAGTATTGTACATTATTTTGTCAGACTTTACAGTCTTTATTACACCTTAGTTATTATAATAAATTATAATAGGTGCCAATTCAGTCTGTAGTACTTCTTTAGTAAATTGTTTGAGTCAAATAGCTTCTTAAGTAGTATACACTAGTACTTACAACTCTACTTTGTAAACAGATAGTAGTACTAGGTTTTACTATTTGCTTGACTAGAATATAGTTGATTTAGCTAATTGAAAAACATAGCTGTTTATTACTTTATGTCCTTCTGTCATTTATCTGTCTATATTATAATAGTCTTATAGTTTTAAAGTGTTTATACTTCTAAGTTGAAGCTAGTAATTTATTGTATATTTTAAATATGTAAAACAATGTTTCACTACTTTGTAGTACTGTGTTTAGGGCTTTTGTAGGTAGTACACTAATTGCTTAGTAATATAAGATATGTCTGACTGTGTACAATCTGTAACATATCTTAACAATCCTACTATATTTATGTATAGTATTGTTTTATTATTACTTTTGTTTGTATTGTATATATTGTTTACATTATTAGATAAATTTATTCTAAGAGTAATAAGTGTTTGTAGTGCTTTTTTGTTTTCAAAGTAGTAACACTTGATTATACTTTCAATATAATACTTTTACTATAAGCTAATTATTTATTAAGGTCTATCTTAGCTTATTTTAATACTAAGTAACTAATGTATTTTGTTACTGTTAGTAAATATAATGTATTGTCTTAATACATGTTTAAATACTATTATTATAGTAGTAGTTTTACTAATAATTGTAATATTGTTAATGTGTATAAATGTTATAAGAATCATTTTGTTATTTTGTTTCTTATAAAATACAGTATGATTGTAATTAGCTTGTTCTAATCTGATCTTAAGTAGTAGTTTGGTAATCTTCTTATACTATCATCTACCTACTTATTTTAATCAATATAATACTTTATTTAAATGTAATACTTGTCTAGGTTTAATATCTGTAAGTAGCTTACTTAGTAACAGTTTCACATAAATGAGTTTGTCCTCATTTAGTTCTCTGTAAAGATATACAGATTTTACATCTATCTAATGTATTTCATAGTTCTTAGATACTACCTAAGATAATAATAATAATACTGTTAATAGTTTTGTTACTAGAGTAAATAAGTTATTAGAATAAAAGTCTATTCTATTCTTTTGAGTATATCCTTATACTACAAATTGTACTTTGTATTTGTCTATTCAGCTGTTAGCTAGTCTTTTAATTTTATAGACAAATTTTGTTCTAATTATATTTGTATTTGTAGAGAGGATAGTATATATTTATGTGTTTTGTTGTTAAAGTGACTGTATTTTATCCTTTATAACTTTGATTCACTGTTCTTTATTATACATGTTATAGTATTATAATATGTTAATAGATTGTTATAGATTTTGTTAAGGAATTTGTTAAATTCTGTTAAATACATAACTAGGTTTATATTGTCTTTGTAATTTAAACCTATAATTTATTTAACTAGTCTTTACTCTTGTGTAGAGTATTGTATAACAGGTTCTTTGTCTTTATTATTATTATTAGGAAGAGTTTTATCATTATTTAATATATTATTGTTATAATTATTCTCTCCTTCAATCCTAGACA